ATTCATTTGCGAAGAAAAAAAAGAAAACTCAATTTGTTATCGAATCAAAAGATTATAAAGTGTTCTAATGGTGAGTCAGGTTGTTCTAATTACACTGATGTATCAGATAAAAGGAATGATTTCAAAGAATATTATCAATATAATATACAGAAAATTCTTATCTAATTGCAGCTATATTTCAAAATATAGCTGCAATTAGATAAGAATTTTCAAACAATGCAGCTATAATTGTTTCAAGGATTTTAAAAGATTTTTAAAAACCACGCAGAGGCTTTAGTTTATCTAGAGTCTTTTTTTGTTGCAGAGTGTCAGATTAATGGAAAGAATAGATTTGAGTGTATTCTTTTTGAAGTGACATAACCAATGTATTGACAAATAATAAAAAAACTAAAATTTTTTATCCGCTAGTTAAAGAGGAAGGTCACTAAACTTTAAGTGATAAATATGGTAAATATCTTTCATTTAACATAATTTAACTAAATAAGATATATGAAAAAAAATTGTAAATCAAACTTGTTGAACATACTACATATGAAATATATATTAATGACAGGTTAAACTTTTGTCATTTTGCATTCATTATAGGTTTGTCATCAGCTAGACAAATTTTGCCTCCGAATCCATCAATAAGTGTGAAAGACCTTGGGCAAATAATGGCATCAAGAGGTTAACAGCTACTATCAACCTTACAACAGATTGTTGAGAAATATTGCGTCATAAAATTTGATGAATTCAGCAAGCAGCTTGCACATCATTTCACAAGTTCGTCGATTCAAGATCACGCTGGATGTGTGAGGGCTTTCAAACATTGCAAGGACTTCCGTAAGCCTAAAAATGAAAAATATCCATAAGAAGTACGTTAAAAAGTCACATTGTTAAGGTTGGAATTTACGGAGCAAATGGGTTCCTGAATTTTAGCCTGTGAATTATTAAATTAAATCACGAACCTAGCATTCCCCGAGAAAAACTCAATTGCATAAGTAATATTTTTATAGACACTGGTGTCAAACGACATCTCATTAATGCTGCCTCTGAGGAGCTGCAAGAAAATAATACAAACGTTTCACAAGTATTTGAGTTGATTAATTTGAAGGGCCAGGAGTTTTTAACGTCCTGTAATCAAAAAATTACAAATATTATTTGTGGATTTCAAATACACTCAACTGCACATCCCTGCACCTGGTGTGAATCTAGTTTAAAAAAACTTGTAAATCAAAAGAAATTGAGGACTTTTGAATCTATAAAAAAAATGTCTCACTCTTCAAGTCAGCAGCCTCAAATATAAGAAAAGCTTGTGACTACAAAAATGTTATTTAATCTCTAATATTTAAACTACCTGAAGAAATTTTGGTTTTGAAATTCCATTCTCTTATAGAATAGCATCTCCTAATTGGAGTTTTTAATCGTCTGCTTGCTGCGCTACTTCAAGTTTTTACTCTTTAAACTAATGCATTACACATAAAGCAACAGCCTTACCATGGTGGACATTTTGCAGAAAATGAATCCAAGCTGCTACACAATATTGATATTTTTTAATCAATTGCTGAGAAACACTCATGCTATGGAACAATCTCATTCATTGATACTTTTTGAAAAGTCAATGCGGAAGAGTCTGGCTCTTTTGGATGCAACCCTGCTTCAAACAACACACAAATAATTGAAGCATTCAGAGCGTCTTATGTAGTATTGCAAAATGTAAGTAAATGTAAATAGTAAACATTGCTTGTGAAAAGCAATTTGTTCCATGAAAAAGAAACAGTTTTTTTTGAATTTTTTTACATGTTTACTACATGTGTAGCTTCAATAATATATTATTTTGTTTTCCTTGTTTTTATTAATGAAAGTTGGAGATTTTTACTACTGTAAAAAAGAAAAATAAGCTGTCATTTTGCATGCTTGTGGAAATAGGATAACTCCGGATAGGAAATTAAAGGGTAGAACTTGTTTTATAACATTGTGTCTTCTATGGGTTTACTTGGTTCAAAAAGGATGTTTTAAAAAAAACTATGAATGTCAATTTACTAACTCAAAACACAATGGATAGAACCATTTTTGGTGAATATTTTTTAAAAAAAACAATAATATAATAACATTTAATGGAAATTAGTGTTTATTAAATAGTTGAACTAAAACGTAACGGTATTCATAGTCTTTCAGATTAATTAAATTTATGTTTCAATAAATTTTAAGTTTATGAATGTAATCAGCATATGAACAAATTCCAAGTTTTCATTCATATTTGCGACCCATTTTCTTTTTTGGAATGAAGCTAAAACAAATAAAAGTACCTATTGTGTTATTAATAGTAAGTCTATAACTCCTAACCTCATGCAAAGAATGAAATGGGATGGATGAAAAGTGATAAAACAAACATATAATAGAAAATAAACTTAATTTTGGACACTTCAAATATGTCAAATCATGTCTGGTTGGTTTATCATGATCCTGGTAACCTGTAACCCAGAACAATCTGCTTCATGTCCTGCTGCCTTGTAGGATACGCCTTTTTAGGCAAAGGCTAGGAGATGCCAACTGACAGAAAACACCCCCTGTTTTAGGGCTCTTGGGTGAGTAAAGGCTAGAGATGGTGTCCCGATAAAAATACTCATCTTGGGCAGATGTTAAAGGTATCCGGCTGCTGTCTTGTAAAAGACCTTATAGGCAAAGTCTTAAGGAGTAAACAGACTCTATCTGTTGACCAGTCTCGCATCCCTTCTTCATCTATTAGGCTGGCGCAGATGTATTTTTAATACATTGTTTCCAGTTTAGGATGTTGAATGCTGGATTTTCTTGACTCAATGCATGGGTTTTGCTTATGTCTCTGTTTTTATGACTAAGCAACTCATTCTATTATTCTATTTAACTCATTTTCCACAGTCATCACCC